ATTTATCAACGTCTGAATCTCTTCTTCCAAAACCACAAGCTTCTTCTTCACACACGTGGAAAAAATCTTATTGATACAAACCAAATATCCTTTCCATTGGAGAGGTTCATCATTAGGAAGAACAGGTGTGGGCAAAGTAGAAATCATTAATGCAGGTTGTTAAGTATTCATATACTTTCAGATATATATTAGGATGATATTTCCTGACATTGTTTCAGTCTTGCATAGATGTGCCCATCCAGTGAAAAAGAAAGTTAGAACGATAAGAGCAGAAATGCTTGAAATGAAGACTTAAAATACAAAGAATCAATCACAGTTTGTTCTTCAATACAATAAACAAGCAAATAAAAAACTTCTTAGCCAATCTCACCAAAAGAAAGAAAATAACACAGTATCAATGCAATTAGAAACATGTAAGACAAAATCAAGATGGGCACTGCCAAAATCCAGAAGGGTGTTAATAACTACCTCAAAAGCCTGTGCTCTGATAAATAGGTGAGCATAGAAGCAATGGACAATTTTCTGGATTATCAAAACTGAAGCAAAATTTTTAAAGCCTCAGGAATCCAGTAATAGGCAATGATATTGAGACAGTAACTTTTAAAAACCCACCAATCTAAGAGAGTCCAGAGCCAGATAGATTCACCTCTGAGTTCTACAAGAACTTTGGGTAAGATTTACCGTCAATATTCTTCAAACTCTTTAGAGAAACTGAAATAAAAGGAGTACTGCCAAACTCATCGCTGAACTTAGTATCATCTTGATTCCCAAATCACAAAAGGATTCAACATAAGAGAAAGAAAACTACAGGCTGATCTCTTTAACATGGATGAAAAATTCTAAGCAAAGTACTGGCAAACAGAATGCAATATATCACCTAAAAAAACTCACACATCTTGACCAAGTAGGCTTCAACCCACATATGGAAAGATGGCTCAGAATGCACAAATCAGTGAACATAATCACGACATAAGCAGAAGTCCAAAAAAAAATGACCATCTCAACAAATGCAGAAAAGGTCTTTGACAACACCCAACATCTATTCAAGATAAAAATTCTTTAATAATAGTTATAGAAAGACCTTAACCTATACTGATGAAAACCATTTATGAAAAACCTGCCAACATCGTATTAAATGAGGAGAAATTGAAAGCGTTGGCTCTAAAATCTGGAACCACACAAGGACGTCCACCATTACCACTCCTGCTCAGTAGAGTACTGGCCACTTTGGCCAAGCCAATCAGACAAAAGAGAGAAAGAAAAGAAGTATGTGTGTGTGAGGAAGAAGTCAAACTGTCCTTATTCACAGATGACAGAGACCCAGAAAAGTGCACCAAAAGACACTTACAATGAATAAACAAATTTAGGAAAGAGAAGTTTTTAAAAAGCACACAAACAGGGTTTGCAGGTCAGCTCAGTTGCTTAAGCACCTGCTAGGGCAAACCCAGGCAGGCGCAGGGGTCTGTGGTTCAATCCCCAGCTCGCCATGCCTTACCAGGCCTGCCTTTAAGGCAGCCAGCCCCCCAAAAAATCCTTCTCAACTTAAAAAGAAAGCACACAAACATCAACAGCATTTCTGTACATCAATAATGACACCACTGATAAATTAGGAAAAAAAAGTACCATTTACAACAGCTTCAAGAAAAACTAAATTCTTAAGAATTTTCTAAAAACAATAAAAATACATTGAGAAGATGGATCACAATTACAACTCAGAGGAAAAAATGATCAACCTAACAAAACCAGCAAAAGAGCTCTATAACAAAAGCTCTAGAATTATGAAAAGATCAAAAAGTACAACAGAAATAGAGAGACATCCTCTGTCCCTGGATAAGCAGGAGGAATTTTGTTAAAATGGCCATACTTCTAAAACTGATAGTAGACTTCAGTGCAATCCCAATCAAAACAACAATTTGTAATTCCTCACAGAAAAAACAATTCTAAAATTTAGGTGGAACCAGAAGAGACCAGCGAGCCATGGTTTACAGTGCAGTTATGGCCAAGTCCAAGAACCACACCACATACAACCAGTCTCAAAAATGGCACAGAAACAGCATCAAGAAACCTCAGTCACAGAGATAAGAATCTCTGAAGGGGGAAGATCCCAAGTTCCTAGGACATGCGTTTTGCCAAGAAGCACAACAAGAAGGGCTTCAAGAAGATGTAAGTAAACAATGCCAAGGCCATGAGTGCACACGCCGAGGCTATCAGGGTCCTCGTCAAGCCCAAGGAGGTCAAGCCCAAGATCATCCCCAAGGGAGTAAACCGCAGGCTTGCTCAGCTTGCCTACACTGCCACCCCAAGCTTGGGAAGCACATCCGTGCCTGCATTGCCAAGGGCCGCAGGCCTTGCAAGCCAAGGCCCAGGCTCCGGCCAAGGCCACGCTCCCGCTTCTGCTCCAGCCAAGGCCCGGGCTCCGGCCAAGGCCCAGGCTCCACGTTCTGCTCCAGCTCAGGCCCCCATGAAGTTTCCACAGTAAAAGGCTCTTATCTGCTGATGTGAAAACAGAAGAACTGGTATGATTGTTGGGGTGCCATCCTGTGGTCTTTGTACTAATAAACCTGAGACAGGATTTAAAAAAAAAAAAAAGAGAGAGACCCAAAATAGTTAAAGTCAGCGTAGACAAGAGATAAAAGAGGCATTACAATCTACACTGTTGGTGGGAGTGTAAACTACGCCCACTGCAGAAATCAGTATAGAGATGCCTCAAAAAAGCTGAAACTAAGACCAGAGTAACTCGGCAGTCTAAGCACCTGCCTGGCAAATGCAAGGGCCCAGGTTCAACCCCTGGTACTGCATGCTGTGCTGGCCCCAGAACCTGAGAAGCACTGTGCCAGCCACCAAACTGGGATTGGCGTTGCACACCTGCAATCCCAGCAATGGGGGGTCGTGAGATGGGAGGACCATAATGGGTCTGAGCTGCGCAGCAAGACCTTGTGCCAAATAAATAAAGACAAAGATTTTAAAAAACACTGAAGCTAGAAATATTACAGGGATAAATACAGACAGATAATTATAGCAGCACACCTCTTGAGAGCTAATTTTTTTTTTTTTTTTTTGCGGTACCAGGGATCAAACTCAGGACCTTGTGCTTGCCAGGCAGGCGCTTAACCCACTGAGCATGACCTAAATCTTGAAAGCAGCCCCCATGTCCATCAACACAATGAATGGAGAAAAATATGGTATTTAAGGGCTGGCCAGATAGCTCAGCAGACTAAAGCGCCTGCTTAGGCAGGGCGCAGTGGCCATGGTTCGATCCCCAGGGTGCCATGCCCGCCCTGCCCCCAGGGCTCACTGAGATGGCAATGGAGACTGGGCATGGTGGCACACGCCTGTAATCCCAGCACTTGGGAGGCTGAAAACAGGAGGATCACCACGAGTCTGATCTATACAGTAAGACCCTCTAGACCTTGCAGATCCTGTACTAAATACATGAAAAGAAAATATGGGCTTTTTTTGTGGCACCTGGGAGGTGACCAGCAGCTTCGAGGTGAAGCTGCACATCTCCTTCCCAGCCACTGGCTGCCAGAAACCCATCGAGGTCGATGATGAATGTAAACTTCGCATGTTCTCGGAGAAGTGCGTGGTCACAGGAGGGGCTGCTGGTGCCCTGGGGGAAGAGAGGAAGAGTTATGTGGTCTGAATCAGCAGTGGAAAGACAAGCAGGGCTTCCCCGTGGCGCAGGGCGTCCTCACCCTTGGCCAAGTGCACTGCTGCTGAGTACGGGGCACTCCTGCTACCGAGTGAGGGGGGCCAGGGAGAGAAAGCACAAATCCATCCGAGTCTGTGTTGTGGACACTGACCTCAGCATTCTGAACTTGGTCACTATAAAGAAAGGAGAGAGACACACTCCTGGGTGGACGGACATTACCGTGCCTCAGCGCCTAGGGCCCAAAAGGGCCAGCAGAATCTGCAAACTTTTCAATCTAAGGAAGATGATGTCCACCAGTATGTTGTCAGGAAGTCCTTGAACAAGGAGGGTGAGAAAGCCAGGACTAAAGCCCCCAAGATCCAGCAACTTGTTGCTCCACGTGTCCTTCGGCACAAATGCCGCCATACTGCGCTGAAGAGGCAGTGTGCTAACAAAAACAAGGAAGAGGCTGCAGAGTATGCTAAACTTCTAGCCAAGAGAACAAAGGAAGCCAAAGGAAAACCCCAGGGACAGATTGCTAAGAGGCGCAGGCTGTCCTCTCCAAGAGCTTCTACTTCCAAGTTTGAGTTCAGTCAAAAGTAAAACGCTCAAGTAACAAATAAATTAGATCTGACCTCAAAAAATATATCTATGGTATTTATACACATGGAGTACTACTGTCATAAAACATGATAAATTTTTGTCATTTGTAGAAAAGTGGATGCACTGTAAGACAATAATCTTAAGTGAAATAAATCAAATACACAAGCTTAAATATCACATTTTCCCTTACATCAGAAACACAAGGTACAAATGGTATGAAAACCAAAGTAAAAGACAAATAGTCAGAAACAGGAAGACAGATCTTCTGCAAATGGGAAGATGATAAGGAGATGGAGCAAAGAGGTACTGGAATGGAGAGGGGAAAGGAAGTAAAAAGAGCTGAGGAGTGATGCACACACACCAAGTCCTCACTGGGAATATAACCATCACATGCCACAAACATGTACTAATAGAAGTATGAAAAGATCACTGTAAAACAACAGAAAATGTTCACGATTCCATTGCCATCGAAGAATGACTACATACACCTGACCCACGTCAGAGTCCATTTCCACCACCTGCGCTCCCCAGCCCCGGCCCAGCTATGAAGGTGGCTGGCTTCTCTCACGCAGCAGACATGCTCCGCTCATACCAGGATACAGTGCTGTGGGAACCAGTAGGACACACTGATTGCTCTACACCCTCATGCCCAGGCCGCAGCCCTGTGCTGTGGGCTGGGGAAGGAGACACGGTGCACTGAGCTGGGGCAGCCAGAATCCCTGGGGCCACCCTTAAATTCACGTTCCTTAGGATCAAGACACTTCACCTGAAAAAGCAGCAGGCGTTCCACTGAGACCAGCATCCAAAACCAAGGCGAGATGGTTGGCTAAGCCACAGGCCAACCACTGTCCATTTCCTGTTTAGGAACATACAAACTAGTGAGAACCCCACTGGTAGGTAGCTTGATGGCCATATTCTCAGGTGGGGGGACCTGAAACAGCCGCCAGCGAGGCTCACCAGCTCTCTCAAACATGGAGGGGCTGCCAGGCCCCCACCCCTCGTCACCCCTTGGACAACCTCACACTACTTCCTCAGAGCCTCAGAGGTCAGCTGCCACCACTGCTGTTGCTACTCCCAGGTATGGCACATAGCTGGAATGGGGCCAGAGTGGGGTCAGAGAACCCTCCACCCAGTACAGCCCCCCACTCTGCATGTCCTGCTCACATCCCCAGATTGGTCAAGAGACGGATTCAGCCTTGCAGCTGTTTCCCTAAAACAGGACAGAAATAAAACTCAGATTTCCACGTAATATTCAAACTTGTGGATCTGCACCAGTGTGCTGACCTGCTCCCGGAAGCAGAACGCAAAGGCACCACACAGCTGTCAGCAGATCTCAGTTTTTTCCCAGTACCAGGAATAGAACTTGGGACCTTACACTTGCCAGGCAGGTGCTCATGCCACTGAGCTATCTCCCTGCCACTTTTGAGATGCTCTTATAGTGAAACTACCTGGGCCAGTGATAGTGAACCTTTTAGAGTTGTCAATTACAGCAAGTAGCTGGCCACAGCACACATGCCGTAGGTTCACCACCACCAGCAAAACTACACACAACCTGGATGAAGCTGCACAAACCCTCATAGCTGTCTCCTGCCTTCCTTCAATCATTGATAAGGAACAAACAGGCTACTAGGAAAGTCAAGAAATAGACCGTAGGGACACAACCCAGATGAGGGTCTGTCAAGGTCATGTCTCAGGGAACATGACAGCTCTCTGCTAACTCCGGTCCTGGAGGAGTTGTGTGCATGGAGAGGCTGTGCACGTGGAGAGCAGGGAGCATGCGCTGGGTACCGAGCCGCAGCAGAGCTCTGCAACTATCCCCAAGTGCAGACAGAGCTTCCGTTGGTGCTGGACTCGCACTTGGCCACACAATTTCAAGAACCAAGCTAAAAACATATTCACAATAGGAGAAGTGGACAGAGGGAGACGGGCCAGCCCCTGGAGCTCACCTACCTGAGTACTGCATGCAGCTCACGGCCGCTGGCTCTCGGGCCATGGCCAGCTGCTTGCTCAGTCTGCTTGGCAGTGAATTCTCCAAGGGATACTCCTCACTTAAGGGCAGAAAATAAAGCCAAGAGAGGATTTCAAGTGAGAACAGGCATAAAAATAAACAAAATAAAGTGGATGTGCCCCTACGTACAATTTTATTCCACTAATCCTGAAAATATAAACTCTTCTATTCAAATTCATACACTAACTCTTTGCCACAGACTTGTACTGCATACTGCCCCAAAAGGAATATGGTCACACATGACACCAGACAGCAAGTCATGCTCTGAGAAATCCATGACTAGACGACTTCTGACAGTGCGGACATCGTGGACCATGTTTACCCAGACCTGGAGGCAGAGCCGGCTACACACCTAGACCAGCGACACAAGCATGGCCACGGGCCAGCC